AATACAGAATTGTCCAAAATATCGGCTATTTTTGATTCTCCGCTATATATTCTGTGCGCTACTGAAAGGGTAATCATTTACAATATTTATATTGTTTTTTGTATTTTATATGAAATGTTATTTGGGAATAGTATTGTGCAAAAGGAGGCAAATGTAAACGATTTAGTTCTCCGTTGCCGGTGGAGGAGGAGAACACATCTGTGAAAGACTCGCCACAAACACAACAAACCTCACAAACCCCTCAAACCACTCAAACCCCTCAAACCCCACAAACCCCACAAACCACTCAAATCCCTCAAACCCCTCAAAACCCACAAACCATACCAACCCCTCAAACTCCACAAACCCCTCAAACCCTACAAACCCCACAAACCACTCAAACCTTACCAATCCCTCAAACCCCACAAACCGCACAACCCATAAAAGATACTCAAGTGGTGGCCAAAAGTGCGAATAAATCACCACAAGCCACAACCGGCACATTTGAAGATGACTCATCTTAGATGAGTAATGACATGTTTATAATTATTAATTAAATATTTTAATTTAGTACAATTTAAAATTAAAATTGTTTAATGAGTAGAAAATACTAAAAGTGAACGAATTGTTTTAAGGTTGATTATTAGAGTCTTGTATTCTTGTATATTATACGATATGGAATTCAGTGATAATTCAGTGAATACATAATAATAATGACAATTTATGAATAGTATTTAATTATAGTTAATAAATTATAAATAAAATATAAAACATTAGATTGTAATTTATAGACATTTTTGTGTTTTCAGAGTTATTCTTAAATTGTATTAATATATAAAAATTTGTTGAATATTTTGTTGAATATAGAAATTGCATGAATAGTAGGATTCAACATAAAATGATCAATAATTGTATGTTTTTAATCTTGTGGATATATAATCTTCGCTCGGATACTATCACTGTTTTCATTGACAATCACATCAGAAGTGGTGAATTCAGTGTCACTCAAATCTGATCCTTCAATGGGAGAAAATGTTGAAGTCTTTTGTCGATTAGTAGAGCCTTTTCTTCCGGGTCTTGGCTTTCGTTTGCCGTCCACTGTATTCAAAGGTCTGCCAATTCTGCGATCACCTGAAGTGCCATCCGATGGCACCGAACCGATAGCTGTTGAACCAGATGTTATACAAACGCCATCAGTACACTGTTTTTGACAATAATATTCACGGGTTATGTAATTTATTAGTGATATTAATTTAAAAATAGACATATGTCTTACGCGAGCGCCTGTGGGTCCGCATACGATATTATTTAAGGTGTTGTGTTCAGTAAAAGATGCGGTTCTTTCAGCTCTGTTTACTACACGACAATATGTTTTGCAAACATCTCCGCTATAGTTCTGGTGGAAAATTAATTGTAATTTTTACTATTTTATAATATTTTACCACATTTAAGGATTAAACGATTAAATAAAATAATTACCAAAACAGCAGAGCTTGTGATTCCTATGCCATAATTTTTCTGTTTGCAAATGAGATGATCGTAACGATTGGGCCGACGATATCTTTTAACCTCTAATTTATACAACATATATAATATATTGAAAATGGATTAGAATATTATATAAACAATATTTAATAAAAGATATAATTTTACCATAATTTTGGCAATTTATTGATGTGATTGATACACATAAAACCATGATCAGCTTAAAGATTGTGTTATAATATGGATACATTTTAAATGCATATATTTTTTAAATATTCAAAGTTAAAACACATTTAGTTTTAAAGAATACAGAGATTAATAATTTATTAATAAATGACAAAATGAATTGTTAGTAAAATGAAAGTTTTGTGACAACCAAATGTGATCTTTGTATTTGCGTAACACAAAGGTATACATTATAGGCATCATTGAGACCCCCATCGCTATTGTAATGACAACTTTTATTGTTATCAAATGTTTTATTTTTCACATGAAAACAGTTTTTATCAAAGGATTTCAATAATATCTATTTCATGGCCTGAATTTCATTTATTTCAAAACAGAATTTATATTCAAATGTTTACAATAGTTGCCATAATATATTCAGTACAAAATTATTGTGCAAAACAATTCAATTACAACAATATAAATAAAAGTGTTTCTTTGTAAACTTTTTAAATTTAAACAAAATAATATTTAGTAATTTAAAAAATTGTAACATTTGAATTTATTAACGTGTAATTAATTCATTATAAACCAGGTTATTATACTTTACACAACAGATGAAATATAGTTTAAATGAGTGCATTTGTTATTTAAAAGTTTGAGATTTTATATTTTCTGGATAATAATCAAGAATATCTAAACACAAGCTCTGAATTTAATATTTAGGGAATGCATGATATATCCAATGCTCTGTAATATGTTTATACATTTCTATTATTTCTGGTATTTTATTATTTAATGATAAATATTGGATACGATTAAGCCTTAAATTGTAGCGTTTTCCATAAAAACATTTAGTTTTATACATAATTTCAAAAATAAACAAAATAAATGCTACAATAAATAAAAATATACATAAAAAGTAGAGACTTTGAAGTTTTTGTAGACCTAGTGATGAGAATTGATATTTCCCTTTAGATTCAATGATACCGAGTCTTAAGGCTTCGTTATTAATCTCCAAAGTATTTCTAACCCAATACTCATAAATACCGCTTTCGGAAAGGGAACCGATTCTGACAAAAATAAGTCTATATTAGTTACAAAATGATACAAATAATAGAGTTTAAGTCTTACATATAATTCACGCAATTAGTAAAGTTTCGCGTATTATGTTTAGAGAGGGCGAGAAAGTATGGGAGAACCAGACTATTGAATTGGGATCGATATAGGTTTGGATATTGCGATAGTTTGGTCGCATAATAATAATCATTAAATGGTTGATCGGTGACCAAAGCGTACACACCATTTGTGATGTTATCAAAAACAAGTTGTTCCCACTTTTGCTTATTAATATTGCCGGACTTTTCCCGGACTACCCGTCCCTTGAATTGGTTATAATAGGGTTCGTGCGGAGAGTTTAGATAATCAAAACCAGGATCGTCTTCAAATGTGCCAAATTTAATATCTCTTTGAGCCAAATCTTGGAGCGAATCGATCACATCGTATGGAGTCTTAAATTCAAGGTATGTGAGCAACACTACTGAGTAGCTCCACATTAGTATAGTTGAACCAAACGTCCAAATCATTGCAATTATTGAGGTTTTCATCTGTCTTTGTAAAAGTTTTGAATTTTGATTCAATATATGTCCGAATAAACTAACAAACGGTGTCCAAGAGTTTTCAACTAAAGTTGCAATTAATGAAATAACGGCATAAAATATAACAAACAATATCCATACGCTTGGATCAAATATAAGAAGTAATTGTGTTAATGGTTGCGGTATCGGTTCTTTAGCCGATAGTATTGATAGCATAGGCATACTGTCAATACAACGTGATAATTCAATATAGTTTATACCATTGTTCATGAAAACAGTGAGCGGAGGCAATGGAGACAACGCAAAGTTTGTCGACATATTAGCCATCATTTCATAATATTCTTCATGATTTCCAGAGATTGTTGTCCTGAAAATCAAACTAATGTTACGATTAATTTTAATCTTTGTCTAACAGTTGTTTGCACTAACTTTGCGTTCATTTTGAGAGCAATTTCATAAGTTATGCCAAGAAATGGTCCGCAGATTTTAGTGTCATTTGTGCCGCCAATAACCTCCACATCAATGAATGGCTGCCAGAATTCGGCTGAAAAACTTAAATTAAGATAAAAACATACTTTAAATAGCAATAAATAGCTCTGACCCTAAGGCAGACATTTACATACTGTCTTAAATAGGAAGTAAAAGTTGGCTAAGAAACGATTTCTTAACAAGGAATAAAAAGGTGAAAAATAATTTTAATTTAATATTTCGTTTTATAGCTCCTATTGATAACAAGAAATCAATATTACTTTTTAATTATATATTTACGTGTAAATCATATTTTAATAAATAATCGATTATTTCGACATATAATTAAAGTTATTTAATTTAATATTTCGTTTTATAGCTCCTATTGATAACAAGAAATCAATATTACTTTTTAATTATATATTTACGTGTAAATCATATTTTAATAAATAATCGATTATTTCGACATATAATTAAAGGAGTTATCTAATTATATGGCATAACATATAATTAATATCACCATAATTTCATTGACAGTGACAATAAGATATAAATTTAATAATATTATTAATTATAATGTAACCCTGTTTATTATTTATTGCACAATTCATATAACCTTTCAATTTTCATTATAAATAATTTGTATAAAAATATAATAAATTATTTATTTTCAATCATTAAATTATTAATTTAATAAATATTATATAACATTAAAAATATATAAAATGACATCAAAATAGTTTTATTGGGCATTCACTAAATCATAAATAGTTTGAGTGTCTGTTGTCTGCACTTCACAGAAGCCAAGTCTCCAACCTTAGCGTTAGACTTCATCTTCACGCTGTCGCAAACATAGCTGGCTAACCGGTTGGCAACCGAGTTGCCGAAGTAACCCTCGCGGACATGACAGCAATAACAACAACAGTAACTTACCGGAGTTGAAGGCGTCGTCGAGAATGTCTTTTTTAAGTTTATTAAATCGACGCCTAATTAAGGGTTTCCTATGGTTTCGATTTTCGCACATTTTCTTTATGTTGAGCTCTTTTTCTCGCTTTTTCTTTTCGTCCAAACGTTTCAGTTCTTTAACTGTTATTTTCTCTCCTTTTGTGATCGCAATCTCTTTCAGCACTTGTTGTGTAATCATTGATCCCTTTTTGAGGGCGTCTTCATCGGTGGGTTTGGCGGAAGTTCTTTTGTCTTCAGATATCAACGAAAAGGTGACGATTCCGTGAACGCTCTTCACATGCTTTACGATATTTGAATTAACATTACATTTATAATCACATAAATGGCACTCAAATGGCTTCTCTTCGGGGAAGTGAATGATTTTGTGTCGCT